CAGACACATCAGGAAAGGCCCCTGCGGAAGGAGGGGAGGCATGGGGAAGGAGGAGCGTGCTCCGGGAGCGGAGGAGGCCCAGCGTGGCGGACAGAGGCATTGGCCAGAGGAAGAAAGAACTGGAAACCTTGATGTTCGTCCACCATGTCCCAGTGGAGACTGGTTTCAGGGGCCCAGCGATTTGAAGCTGGAATGGAAAAGGCTGTGATTGAGGGCCGTTGGAGCAGGTGTTAACCGGAGAGGGTAAAGGTCAGAGGCCTGGAGGAAGCCCACGAGCATACAGTCGGCACTCAGCCCTGGCGACACGGGGACGGGGCCCCAGGCAGGGGCTCACGGCTCCTGTCACTCCTGAACAACTCCATAGTCAGTGCGGGGTAAGCCCTGCTTGACAGGTGAGAAAACGGAGACCAGAGAGGAACCAGAGGAACCGCAGGGGAGGGCAGCAGGACCCACAGTGCTGGGCCCCCAGGGACCGGGGCTGAGCACTTCCTGGAGCCTCTCTGGACCACTTGGAGGCTGCTCAGGCCTTCCGTCACTCCCCCTTCCTACCCCAAGAAAAATGTGGTTTCACTGGCAAGAGGAGGAAATAAATGTCTTTCTGTTTGGTTTGTGGGAGTGTGACCTCCAACCTGCCGGAGGCTGGGGGAGAGATTAGCAGACGCTTCCCATCAGCATCTGACTCCCCTCCCCACCTGGAGGTGTAGGAAATCACAACACGCGGGGGGTGGGGCTGGGGAGTCAGTGGTGCAGGAGTGTTCTCAATCCCCGGACTTGTCGCTCTAGCTTCCAAAGTGTGTCCCCTCCTCCTATGTGCCTGGCTATGCTTGCATGAGGTCATTGTCGAGATGGGGTCAGCAGGTCACCAGGCTGGAAGAGACCTTGGACTTTTTCCTGGCGGTCTTCAGGCCTCATTGTGGCTCGACTCACTCAGCTAAAGGCCAATCCACGAAGCACCTTACTCACTTCTCAAGCCCCAGGGCCCATTTGACTAGTGGGGTTAGGTTACTGTGCTTATCTGTGTGATAACCTTCGGGCAGAGTTCTCCTGGCCCCATATGACTGCACGAAAAGGAGGGTAAAAGGCAGTGATTGCCATTTGTCATCCACGGAACTTTCCAGAATTAACCTGGGAAGGCGGGACCTTGCGACACAGGCTGGCCCAGTGACCCTTGGCTCTGGAACTCTTGCTAGTGCTCTCCAGGCATGGATCCAAAAGCACCCAGGACCTTGGAGCTGGGTCTGGCCCTGTGACCTGTGTGGCCTCAGGCAGGCTGACTCATTCATTGAAACAAAATTTCTGAGCATTTGCTCACCTCTCTTTCAGCAAGGCACCCCCGCCCCTGAGTAGGGGACCTCCCCATGTTTATTCCCTGCAGGCTGTTTCCAGCTAGTGTTGGCGTGGTTCCCAGGACTCACAGGAAAGGGTGTCAGCTGTCATCTTGAGTGACCTTGGTTCTGCCCAATGTCTTGGTCTCCCAGAACCAGGACACTGTCTCTCAGGCCCCATCAGCATCTTTGCCATCATTTAAAGGCAGTCCTTCCAAAGCTCTGAGGGCCTGCTCTGGCCACAACCTCCTCTCCTCCCACTTGCTTGTCCGTTCTCGGACCACAGGTGCATCTCCAGGCCTCGGGTGACTGTACTGTCCCTGGCTAGGGGCCCACTCAGGCCATGGACTCTTCTTCTCTTCCTTAACTGGTACACTCTCTGGAACTCTTCATTCAAGCCCTCTCCTGCCCCATCCCCCTGAGCCCTCTATCCTGCCGTCTTCTGCCCCCCCCCCACCACCAGGGTGAGAGTCTCACACCAGGGCTGAGAAGTGCTGTGCCCCTCTGCCTTGGCTCTAGGGGTGTCTAGAACACAGTCCAGTACCTAGAAAGTAATTGGTAAAGGTTTCTGTAATGAATTATGCTGCGTTTGAAGAGTTGGCTTGCTTTTCCTTTCTCAACTTTGGATCTCCTTCTTGCTCCTGAAGCTCTGGGGGACCTCGCCTCCTGTTTACAGACAAAACAGAAACCTTCATTGCTGGAACTGGCCCCCCCCACAGCTCCGCCTCTTTCCTCTTGTTACCAGGGAAGACCGACCCAGACTAAGGCCAGCCCGCCTCCCCCAGACTGTGAATAACTCCCCCACCTTCCCTTTTGTGAACTCATCCCCTGTGGAAGTTTCTCATCTCACCGTGCTTGTCCCTCATTAACCACACAAACCCCCGCCTTAAGACCACCTCCCCTCCCAGCTGCTTCCGCTCTCCCCACCAGGCTCCTCCTGGAAGCCCCTGCTGCCCTCTTCCAGGTCCTGTCTGGCCCCCTGCCCTAGGTCACGTCACCTGCTCCCAGGGCTTTAATTACACCTCTTGCCTCCCCCGCACCCTCCCCCCCCTCCCCCGCACTAATAAAGACCAGGTGTTCCAACGAGTATTAAAGAAATGCAGCCTTACTCTAGGTCACTTGGGATCGCGCCGGTCAGGGTCTCAGACTGGCCAGCCACGTGCACAACCCCTGCCAGCTCTCTGGTGTGTGAGCGGCCCCACGGTGGAGCAGACTCGGTTGGGGGGGAGGGGTACCCCCAAAAGAGGTAAGTCTTGATCGATTGAACTTAGCAGAAAAACTCACACATCTGACAAGGAGAAAACAGGATCTGGGAACAGACAGATTTTCTTTCAAAGACCGTGACCCAAGTCATGACAGGAGGCCACAGGCCATCTTCGGTCCCCCGGATCGGAAGCTTTGCAGCAGTTTCCATGCACAGACCTGATGCCCTGGGAGGTGCAGTAACGGGGGGGGGGGGGGGGGGGGCGGCCCTGGCGGGAGGCCCTATTCCCAACCCTGTCCATCCACACGCCCTGCCCCTTCCAAAGGACTCAAAATCGCTTTTCCTCCGGGCCTCCCCACTAGTGAATGCAAGCAGTGCCCACGCTCTTGACCTCGGGGAGGGAGACGCTGGAGACTACGTCACCCTCGCAGGCCAGGGCCTTGCTTACTGGAACCCTGGGGTTACCAAAGTGCCTCTGGGCTTGGAAGCAAGCATGACTGGGTGTGCGCCAGTGTCAGAGCTGGCACTCGAGGGACGGAACTACACAGGGCTCTGGGCAGCATGCTGCAAGCTAGCTGCCACCGGCTAGTGGGCGGGAATGAAGCCTGCTGAAGCGGCAGTTTCAATGGGGACATCAGCGCTCTCGGGTCTAAGCTGCGTCACCCACCCTGCCTGCCTCGGGCATCCACGGGGACTTCACGGTGCTGCAGAGAGGCTTTTGGGGGGTGCTGGCAGCTCGCCCAGGGCCCCTCAGATGCAGCAGGGCTGGACAAACTCCTGCCCCACGACTCCTAAGCCAGGCCCACGTCTCCCCTCAATCGGGTTTTGCTACAGTAACTAGGAGGACAGAGGACCCATGCCAGCAGGGTAGGCCGGTTTTGTCCATTCAGAAGGCAGAAACCCAGCCCTTGGGAGTTGCACAGTGTGGGGTCGGAGGGCAGGGGGGTTGGAGAGGAGCCTCCCCAGGAGCCAAGGACTGCTTTCCTGTCTTTTCAACAAAAGGAGCGGCACCAGAAGCAAATAGGAGGCCGGGACGTAGGCAATGGCTAAGTTCGGCTAACTCGCAGATGCTGGAAAGCTTGCGAACCTTCGACTTTACAAATCTTACTTGAAATGGAAGCCTTGTGCTGAAAGGTACCCCTTAGATCCTTTCTTCTCAGATACAGCGAACACTGGCCAGATTGTTTCAATTTCCGAATTTATTAAAATGATTAACCTCAATACTGCAAGTGCATGTACAAAATATTTGTAAAAAATGTTTTTAATGAAACGTTAAAGAACTTACCTCAAATGCTGAAAAAGTCCCTTTTTTTCATTCTTTCAGTACAAGGAATACATTGTATCTCAAAGGTATTACAACTCAGCAAAACAATTTAAAACAGTAATTTGAAAAATGATTGAAAATCGAACACTTTACATGTATTTTTATGATCATCTCCTAATTCTTACAATGCCAAAATCTTTACGAATCATTGCGCAAGCTCAAGCTTGAAGTTGTATGGAACGCAGCCTCTTCCAAGTGGTCACCGTGTCACCCGTGTGTGGCTCTCGCCATCCCACACGGGGAAGTTCCACGGCGGAGCCCGAGCAGCTCCGAGGCCCCCACCTGGAAAAACGGAAATCAGGTTTCCCTGAAAGGTTTGTGCACCCGCCCCCGGGGCGCCGCTGCTGGGGCCCACGGGGAAGGTCAGCCTCGAAAAGCCGAGGCCACAATCAAGTTAAAACAAACGTAAATTAAGTTACTAAAATTAAGCTTCGAAATGGAGAAATGTGGGAAATGTGGTATTTTGTGACTTTTTCCTTTAGGGGGAAATTCCTGAAATGGCTGTCGTCGGTATCCGGGAGACGGTCTGAGACTGAAGTCTCTGAACCTCTTCGACACACTCCACACTAAGGCGGGAGTGAAAGGGGTGGCCCACGGCTTTCTGGTACTTTCCAGACACGGAGTCTATGCTCGACCTTCCCCAGTGGCTGGAGACTCACACTTCTCCCCCGAGGGACAATGTGAGGACAGATGTGGTCCACAACGCGCTCTGAGGGCCTCAGGACAGAACCCGGGGGAACTGTTCTGCTTCGCAGCGGGGGGGGGGGGGGGGGGGGGCCCACCCGGGGGGCGGGGGGGGGGGGGGGGGGCGCAGCAGGGAAGCGGGTCTGCACCTGCCCTCCACGCTACCTGAGGGGTGACCTGCATGGGACAGACGGGAATGAGGCGACGTTAAGACCACACGAGTAACTCCTTAAAGAACATGAGGAGAAACAAAAACTCTACATTGCGAACACTTTTATGAGTATTATTAATTTCTACATGGAACCCCTATTGGCAGCTGTTTTATGGGACTCAGTTTAAAGGATGTTTCCCAGAACCTGGCAACCAGCAGGAATCACCAAAAGTAAGCATTGAGGTTTTCTCCACTGGACTTTTTGTTACGGGCAGATTCCTCTTAATATCTTAAGACATGGGCTACTTTTACTTTTCTATAGACACTACACGAATCCCCTAAATCGATCTTACTCAGGAACACTGTATATCTGAAAGTACACGTACACATTTCCCAGAAATAAGGAGACCCACTGGCGTCAAACACCTGCTACAGCTTTATATTCCCAAATTCTTTGTCCAATGATTTGTAAAATAATCCGGAGAAATGAAAGGTTGGTATTGAACATAAAGTAGTAATCAAAAATTTGCTCATTAAGTTACTTAAAATTAATTTCTCTTCTCAAAGTGCTTCAAAAAAAAATTAAATCTGACTCCTCTTTTCGTTTAACTGATAATATAGTCAAAAAATCTTTGATATTTTCATACATAAACTAACATAAGCCAAGAACTCCCACTGATGCAGTGCTTAAAACTATATATTTTATAATCTCCTATTTTATTGGCATGAATATTTCTAAACTTAAAAACCTTCCTGGTAAGTTCTTTTAATTTCTTATGACAAAAATTTCTCACAACACACAAGTATTTACAACATATACATTGTTCTCAGTTCTTTACATTGAATTTCAAAGACAAACATTTTTATAGGTTACCACAGAACAAAAGCTGTGACTCATGTTTTTATTTCATAAACTATTATAAGTTAAAGTGAATAGAGTTTTTAATATTCCTTGTAGCATTTTACAAGTGCAACAGAAACCTTGAAGACCCAAATTAAGAGAGCTGTAGTTCATTAGATAAATGTTGCCTGTTGTCATCACATTGTTCACAGCAAAGTTTTGAAAAAATAAGCACCAATCATTCTTGCAAAGAACAATTTTATCTAAAAGGATTGAAAAGTGTTAAATACAAGGTCTTTAATTTACATGACAAGCAATAAATACACTGACTCGGAACTTGTCCTCCACACTGCCGCTCTTGTACAGAAAATGTACTGGAAAATGAGCGGTCATGTGTGTCATTGTACTTTTTTTTTTTTTTTTAAAGAAACCAATTCAACTCCCGACCGATGGTTTGCTCTTTTGAGCAAGGCCACGCACAGTACACCTGGGCCAGCGGACAGTGTGAAATGACAAAACTCCGAGGTGGGGGGGACATCTAGCAAATAAATCAAAAAGCCAAAGATCATTGCTGGTGATATTAGCATATACTAGAAAACCTTAATATGCTGCTACTATGATTTGTTTTAAATTATTGTTTAGTCATATATTAAAGAGCCAGTTGATGCTCTTGGTTAAAAAAAAAGAGAGAGAAAAAAAAAAAGGAGAAAGAAAATTGTGTAGCCACATTATTGTTTTCAACGTCCCGTGTGGAAAGTCGCTATCACTGTACAATTTCGCTTGAGCCTTTATTTTACAACTGGGCTTTCCCTCTAACTCAGAATTGCACGTAGGAAGGCTATTTAAAAAGTACAATAAAAATTTGCACAAATCAGACCTAGGGAGAGTCAGCGGGCTGTACACTTTCTACAGTATGACGCTGCTAAGTGGAGAGACGAGGGAAGCGCGGCCGCTACAACGGTCTCGGGTGAGGAATTACTGACGGGAATTTGTTTTTATTTCTTTAAAGTAGGTTTCCCAAGCCAAACCGAGACCGCGCGCTCATGCGTTGAGCCGCAGAGACTGGTCTTCTCTCCTCCGGGAGGAGATGTCAATGTCGATGGAGTCCTTGCCCACGATCAGCCGCAGGCGCTTGGCCGGAGGGAGGGGAATGAAGTCGTCCTCGAAGTCCTCCTCGTAGTCCTCGTCCTCCTCGTCGCCGTCGGAGGAGGAGGGCTCGTCCGTGCTCTCCTCCCCGTACCGGCCGTAGTCGTCCACTTCCATGCGGGACTCCAGCAGCGAGAGAGGGTCGCCGCAGCACAGCCCATTCTCGTGGAGCCCCTCCGGGTGCGGCCCCCGACCCTCCTCGTCGCGCTTTAGCTGGATCTTCAGTTTCGTGGCGCTGCTGCCCGACCCTGAGTTAAAGCCGTTGTTGAGCTTGGCTACGTACAGGTTGTTATCGTTCTCGTGGTCTTTGCTTAGCTTGATGCTTATTTTTGAGGAATTCATGCCGTCGCTCTCCGGGTCGTTGGTCTTGCTGCTGCTGTCGTGGCGCCTCCGAAGAGTCAGTTTGGGGATCCCAGAGTTATTCTCCAGGATCAGCTGTGCGTCATACCTAGTGATGCGCCTCTTCTTTTTACTTTTTGCAGTTCTGAAGCCATCCTTCGTCTTGAAGCTGTCGGACGTGACGACCGGCCCGCTGCCGGGCGAAGGCGCCCAGTCCGGGTAGGCCCCGGGCGCGGGTTCCGAGGCGCCGTGCTCGGCCGGCTCGCAGGGGGCCCCCAGCACCTCGGGCGCCACGCCGGCTTCTCCAGGGGAGTCCGGCCCCTCGGCAGGCTCCTCGGCTTTCGCCAACGGTTTCCCAAGTTTCCCTTGCCGTGATTTCTTCTTCGACAAGCCGCTGTCACTCCTTGGACACTTGGCTTCCCCGCTGGGCGCCGCCTCGGGGGTCAGGTCCCCCTCCTGTGCCCGGGCAGCCGGCTGCTCGCTGCCACCGCCGTCCGGGCCCGCTGCTGGCGAGCCGCTCTTATAGCCGTCCGACGGGCTGGGATCCAGCGGGAGGTCAGAGGGCTCCTTCGGGGTCGGCCTCGTCCGCGCAGACCGCCTGGTGGTGTAGGCGCAGGGGGCGCCGTGCCCCAGCGGCGGGGCGCTTCGCCCGGAGCCCGCCCGGTGCTCCCTCGCCGCGTGTCTAGTTAAGCACCCACCGGCCGCCGCGGCTGGAGCCGGTCCCTCGGGCTCCTTCTCTTTCTTAATGGGTAAGTTTTTATACAGAACTACTTTGGGCTCTTTGAGTACTAAGTTTCCCATCTCGAGTTTTCTTGAAGCGCTCTTTTGCTCCAGCCGTTTGCAATGATTTCTTAATTTTATCTTTGAAAGTAAAGGCTTTGTAGGCTTTTTCAGTTTCTTTGGTACCCTGGAATTGTTTACATGAGTTAGCTTAGATGAGGTAGAGTTGGAAGAAGCTGGAATTCTTGACATAGACTGCCTTGTTAATGTTCTGTTCTTGCTGTTTTTTTTCACACCGACGGAAGATTTTCGGTTAGGAGCTGCAAGTTAAGAAGAAGAAAAAAAAGGATGAAAACCAGCCCAGGGAACACAGGCGCACTCAACACGCCGCCACCCAAACCTGCCGGCTACGAGAGGGTCGGGTCACAGCAGCGCGCGCGAGGGGCCCTGCCGGTCTGGGCCGGCACACGGGCACCCCCACGCCGCCTTCCTGTCACTTCCCAACCGCTGCCTCTGGTTTACGGAGCACCTCGGCACCTCCCGCAGCGAGGACCTGCGCTCCACCCGGAGCTCATCCATAACCCATCGTGATACTTGTCCCACAAGTAAGTATTTCTTTAGCTGGGTTATTTCCTCAGTCTTTGTAAACTTGAGGAAAAATCAGATTTTCTTTCACAAATTCTCAACATCATTCAAGATAGGTTTCTAAAACCCGTGACTCATTGACTCAAAGGAAGGGTATTACTTGACTGGTAATACAGAACATAAATACGTCATTGCTGAGCTCTAACACTCTACCACAGCGGTTTCAAACAAGCAAGGGAGACCCTAAGAACTATATACTGTTAATCCCACAATGAGCTGCACGACACGAAGTTCTTGCTTCAACTCCGCAAGGACCAGCAGACTTCCAGGGGCGGCAGGACGTTCTTGGCTGCGTCCCTCCAGGGACCGCCTGCTGCCAACCACCAAACTGAGGCGGAAGGAAGCCTGCGACTAGAGATGCACTCTTGGGACAAAGGGGGATCCAACTTCCTCTGGACAAGCGTACGGATAGGCTGCAAGGACCTACTGGGAATCGCCAACCTGAGGACCCCGATCAGATTCGCAAAATGCTTATGGGTGACTCAAGTTTAAGCTGCTTCCGCAGTGAGCTTGACCTTACCAGGGACTTTTGCTGTCTTTATGTTTTTCTCACCGTTGACAGTTTGGACCTGTATGCACAGTGTTTTACAGGAGTCCATTTCTCAATTCCTTATCGTCCCCCCCAGCCCCCACCTGAAACCCCTTCCTCATCAAACTACCCCTGAGTCATCCACTAAGGAAGCTGAGATGACGGAAGTAATAATCCCCATTTCTCACCAGAAAACAGGGAGAGTAAAATGCGACTATGGGTAAACCGAGCACACTGCCCGGCAGAGACTGTCGCCGTGGACTTGGCCAAGGGTTGCCAGGGCGACGGCTGTTCCTTCTGCATGGCTAAGCAAGTAAGTTACCACTAGTTAGCTTCTACTGAGAGAGAACGAGAATGCACTATAAGCATTCCCAACATATCAAACCACCAAGAAGAGAAGGCTCTGTACTCAAGGGTGTCTCATAAGAGGCTCTGGGGTACCCAAACCAGCACAGCTCCCAGGAGCGAGTGCCCGGACTGGACCCAGAAGGCGCGTCTCCGTATGGGCTACCCACCCCGAGGCAGCCACTCATTCTTAGAACAGCGGGAGTCGCAGTTTGGGCGCCATCAGACCGGAGAACTGATGTCGCAGGAACTGGAATCCTACAAACTCGCTGGAAAGGATTTTTTACAACACAAGCCTATACAGGGCCTTCTTTGGTTACAGGATTTCTTTATGCTCACAAGGCTTCCTACGAGGTCCGCTGAAGACATGTGCTTGCTGACGTGGGCGCGCGCCGGCGTCGGGCACTTTGGCCTTCTCAAACGTGGCTGTGAAGTCCCCCGGCTCAGCTCAGACTCCTCGAGGACCACTCCAGGACCCAACTTGGTGGCTGTCAGCCTCACTGTTCCTTTTGCCGCCCGTTCCCACGCCATACCCGCACCACCCCTTCGACACACACGCACCCCACGTGCTGTACCGCAAGCCCGCTGCAACCTGGATCCAGCTCGTCCCTCTAATGAGACAGCCTCTGGCAACCCTGGAACACCTTGTCATGCCATCCAGCAGCCACTCTCCAGCCCTGCCCTCCTCTTCCTTTCTCTGCAGAATGGGACACTGCTCACCGTTTTTCTTCCTGAAAACTCCCATCCCACTGGCTGCCCACGGGGGCACACTCTCCCATGCCGTGCCCTCGGCCCCCGGCAACTGCGTTCCTCAGGCCTCTGCTGTCCTAGGCCCTCTGGAAACGACACGCCTTCTCTGGGTGACAGGCACCCACCCCGACCCCCGCACGGCTCTTACCACTGATGCACCGGCCGCTCCCAAGCCACTTTCTCTAGCCCCCCTCCTAGAGTACAGATCAGTAACACCGAACACCTGCTGGCATCCAGACCGCCCCGAGGCTGGACCCCTCACCACAGTCAACACGCCCCCCGAACTGAACTCAGCATCAAGCTTCACGGCTGCTCTCCCTCTAAATTCTCCATCCTGCTCAGGAACACCACCATCCACACAGCTGCCCGAGCAGACGGCGGGAGGTCTCCCCGCCCTCCTGCTTTCCCTAACCGCCTCCCTCAGTCAGCCACCATGTCCCGTGGAGCCCCCTCCTGCGGCGTCCCTGTGGCCATCTACTTCTCTCGCTTCATAGCCCCTGCCTGAACCGCCGCGACTCCCTCCCCTACTTTTTCTCATCTCTCCCATCGCTTCCCCAACAGCCTGTTCTCTACCTTGTGGCCGGAGTGACTTTCCTAGTACAACATGTCACTGCCGGACTTCAAGACTTTCAGTCAAATGCCCTCAGAATAAATCCAAAAATTTCAACAATGGTCATATCCCTCCTTCCTACCCCCTACTCCAGCCACGATCTACTTTCCTTATTCAGGTCCTACACTCATCCCCGTGTCTCCATTTATGAATTCCCTCCACCCTGAAGACACTTTCCTAAGCCAGTCCCCTCCCCCCTTTAAGACTCCACTTAAGAAATGCTTTGCTCAGGGAGACGTTCAGGACTTTCTACAAATGACCACTTCCGTTTTCAAAGCACCTGAGATCCTCCTTAGTCCGGCTCATATCTTAATCCATTAGGTGAGTCTCATTTTCTGGTGATTCTGAATTCACCCCTGCTTCTAAAGGACTCCCCGCTAGCCGACTGCGGAACCCACCGACAGGGCGCTCGTGTTTGTGTTCTAAACCACACAGAACGGACTGTGTTGGATGCTACGGATTTGTTGATGTGGAGATCTCACTTACACGTGTTCGGTGTACAGGTCAGTCTAGCCTTTTGTTTTAAAAAGTTTCCCAACAAAACCCAGCAGAGGTATGATCAAGTCCAAGGTCAGAAGAGACCCAGAGAAGCTGGGCAAGGCCAACGTGAGCAATGTGACCAAGATGGGAACCCCGCGGGCGCCAAGGGCTCCTCCTGGACGGGTCTACACTGTCCTGGTTCAGGAGGACAGTGATGATAGGCTAGAGGAGGAAGACAGCAGCCACGCTGCCAATGAATGGGAGTCTGTCCAGGGACTGAGGACTCCGACTCAGCGGAGATCAGGCACCCCTGCGGCTGCTCTGGCCTCGGCGCAGCCACACCACGGGGCGACTCTACGGTCTGACGGCGGGGACAGATCTCCAGTGCACAAATCAAGAACAGTCATTCTAGGTGCAGAGACACATTCTTAGCAATTATTATATACTGATGCTGTGCGAAATGGCCCAATCAGTATGATCTCAATCCTAACATGCCTTCTTCGTAGTGCTATTAAGTCCACGGGGCAACCGAGTGCATCCGGCTGAGCGAGCCTCACATCGCCCACCTGCAAGGGGGAGAGCTGGCATCTGGACTGAGTGGCATCTGTGACTCAAGAGCTACCGTACTAAGTATGCCACAGAGTTACAGTGGCGGTCCCTGCTCCTGGGGACAGGACCCACATGGCACGGCCCTCACTGCCACCTCACGGTACCCTCCAAATCACAAGGCAGCCCTGTGTGGGCATCGAGAATGACAGCCAGACACGAGCAGCGAAATGACATCAAAGCTTCCCGTGCGCCTGGGCTGGCTTCGGTACTGGCAAGGCCCCCAAAACGCACACTATGCCCAGAAACCAAGGGAACGTGAGGGCCGGCCACAGCCTGGCATCTTCAGAACTTGAAGATCCAAAAAACCCTCAGTGAGACTGTAGAGTTCAGTTCAAGTCTGTCAGGCACAACAAGCATCTTCCATCGGACACGACCAGCCCAGACCGGCTGTCGGAAAGGACCGAGGAGTAGCCTACCGGCTCAGCTTCAGGGAGGGTTCAGATTGACAGTGAGGTCTCTGACCGCTGACAGAAGTGGGTGGCCCAGTCCACTATCTCTAGGACAGGCACTCCGGAGTTAAGATAAACTTATTCCACCGGCCTTGTCTTCCAGGCCTCACACCGACCTGTGGCACTGGCACGACTCACACCCCGGTTCGCGGCACTATGGGGGGGTGGCCTAGCCATCGAGCCACGAGAGGCCTAAGACACCACGCTCTTCTAATAATGGCCTTAAAATTCAGGCTTGTGGACTGAATTTGTGAAAATGGATTTCTTGTTGTCTCCTCTTTCCAGATGCTAAAGCCAAGTCAACTTGTGGCTCTAGAGACACCTTTCAAAAAAGAGATCTGCGCAGAAGAAAGAATTTTTCTCCCGACTAGGCAGAAATGTTTCTCTAAAAAAGAACACATAAGCTGTTCACTGCCTCCTCTGGGAGAGGCTCGGGCAGCCTGGGCTTTGCTCCCAGCTGCGATCTCAAAAAGTCTTTCTTTCAAACAGGTAGGAGGTTATGGTCGAGACACAGACACCAAAAGCAATCCCTTCTGGAAGAAAACCCGTGGGGACCTGACAGGACACTGCTGTGACGGTGGCCCAGCGGAGGGCGGGCTGCGAGGGCGGGCTGCGAGGGCTGGTGGTGGTAAGCCTCTCGCTCCTCCACAGTGTGGGGCCGTGTCTGTCAACTCTAGTGTCCGGCCCTCCACGTCAGCTCCATCCACCCTCCCAGTCCTCACAACTGTAATCCTGCAGAAAGGTGATCTGAACCGTCAGCACACCCCCATCCGCAATCACTGGGGAGCGCTGCATCGCCCCTCGGTGAGGCTGAGACCCCGGGTCAAAAGGACCCCGGCTCACTCTGCGCTTGCAGCCTGCTCCGCGTGACGACCTGGGTGCTTGCCGCACCCCGAGGGACGGGCCTGAGTCTCAGACATCTCCGCAGCTCTCCAGCAACTAGGAGGCTTCTGAGGATTTGGCTTACTAAGAAATACTCCCCAGACAGCCACACGGTAGTCGGCACTTTCAGAGGCTGCCTACGTTATGCTCTTTTCGACTCCGTGGTGTACTGAGTTCAGTATGCATACAGTAGGAATAGAGTTAATGCCCCCCGTGTCACAGAGCCGTCCGGCGTGCGCAGCGTGGTGGCCATGTCCGCGCTCTGTAGTGTTTCATGCATATATTTCTAAACCGGGCTTCACAAGTCTCCAGTTTCGCCAAGGAACCAGACTCCAAAAACAAAACGTTGATTATGTTCCATTTATTGTGAGAACCAACAGTCAACAGCGAGTGGCGGGCTAACTGCGCTCTTTCTGCTCACTTGGGGCAGGGACACTGGACTAGGAACACAGTACTGCTCTTCCGCTACGGGGTGACACCTGGCCCCTGACCTCCAGCAGCAGGTGGACGCAGGAACTCACGGCATGACGTTCCCCAATGCGGGAGAGGCCTTCCCTTCTCGCCTGGGTTTTCTGCAGGGGAGGGGTGCACCGCGCTGGGCTGCAAACAGCTGAAGATGGGGGGTGGGGAGCCTCAAGCAACTCGACTTCCAGAGGCACCAAGGCGCTACCAAGGACCTATGGCCACCTGGCGTGGCAAAACAGGTGTCCCTAGAGATCACTGAGTCAAAACTTGGAAACTTTATTCCTGTCAGAAACAAGTCAGACTAACGCGCCTACAGCTTTAGTGGCAACGAGAGGAAACCGGTGTTACCCAGAGGAAACCGGCAGCCACGAGCATGGTCCCAGGACTTCAAAGTTCCACAAACAGGACGCGCTTCCTTTTGCCCGGCTAGGCTGGCTCCACTTTCTTTCCTCTTTATGCTCCATTCTCTCTGTTTACAGTTTCCATACAGTCTTGCCCCCATGCACAACCGGTATCTTAACGCTGGCTTCTTCGTGGCACCTCCTGTTGCTTTCCGTGGTGGCCAGGGCACCACATCAGAGTACCAGCGACCTTCCGAACACTCCTCTATTGCAGCTCTGAGCCTGGGAGCTGGCGGTCTGGTGAATGGGCTCAGTTCGGTTGGAAAAAGGCAAGCAAGCGACAAAAAGGTGGAAGCCTTGAGGCCAGAGCTATGAACCGCCCAGGCTGGTGTCAGGTGTGCTAAGGGACTGGCTCGGCGCGCGGACATGGATGTGCCTCCACACCTCTACCCAGTCCTTCGTCTTCCTGTAGGACCTACCACCATCGCCACAGTCAAACTAACACCTTGAAAATGTTTCTCTCAAACTCAGGACGATCCTGGAACACATGATGAAGAATGTAGTATCCAGTTACCAGGAATTCAAGAAAAGCAGACAGTTCAGTCTAGAGGACAGGACTGAATCTGGAGGCGGGATACAGACTGCTTTTGTGCTCGGATCGTTTCTAGAACCTCGCGGTGCTGCTGAAGCATGTGAGTCCCAGAGCTTCTCTCAATATTTAAAAGATCGAAACTACTGAAGTGAAGCATACTTTAGAAAGACAACTGTGTGAAAATACTTTAAAAAATAATAATAATAAAAGAAGATAGACGCTTATCGATCTCCCTTACTTACTTGCATTGTTTTTTTCCTGAGTGGTATCTGCATCAGTGTTAGAGCTGACAGATTGACTGTCTGAGTTTTTGCTGCTGTCACCTAACTTTTTAAGCCTATTTAAGCGTTTATCTGTCTCTCTGAGTCCGTATTTGCTATTGATAACAGGAGCAGGTGCAGGCAGTCCCACTCTGGATTTAAAAGCACCGGTTCCCCGTCTGAAAGAGAAAACAGCACAGGTTAAACAGACAGTGTCCTTACTCCAAGGTCAGGTGCTGAGGGCTCACGGCCACCAGGTCAACAGATGTGGCGCGCTGATGAGGCCTCAATAATCACTGGAAATCCGTCAAGTCTAGGACTCGCAAAAGAATTAAAAATGTATAGAAAACTAATGCAGAAAACCCTCTAGATTTTAAACAACAAATTATTGTGACTATTATCAACTGATTATTCACTGCCCATGACAAACTCCTAGACCCTGAAGTCCAGGTGTAGATGGAAATAACTAATTCTTCCATTTCAAAGCTGGTGAGTCCAGAGTCAGGTCTACATTGTGGCTGAATTAACCCACCTGTTAATTGTATTCCAGCTCTGCTCTACGCAATTTACCTCTACAACACTGCATATTAAGAATTAACGAATTCAAAAGAAACCAGAGAATTTCCATAAATTAATTCATTACTTAGAACTCGATGTTAGATACAGACAAATATTAACTAAAAATCTATGCAAGGTGGCTACACTGTATCAGTGAAATTCTGACTTCTAGAACAATAAAAACTGTTTAATTTCTTTCATGTTACCAAGATAAACATGAATGACCGTAATTAACACAATGTTACTTAATAAAGGGCATTAAAATACTTGCTTTTATCACAGGACAAGAATCATTTATAGCTTACTCTAGTAATTTCTATTTTTTAAAATAATTTCTATTTTTATATAAATTCTTCTGAAGTGAAAGTGCTCAGGAAAGGCTCTCATCAACCTTACTGAACATAGCTCTGCAGATATTAACTTTATTCAGTGGGTACTGGTGAATTTCTACTCAGCTCAATTCGAGAATGTAAGTTAGTAAGGTTAAAAAAAAAAAGGTGTTAACATGTTCCAATTAAAAAATGAAAAATCCCTTTGGTCAAAATTGCCTTCACGGACTTGCCTCTGTCTTCAGCTTGTCAACGAAAAGCTGTACAACAGCCTCTGAACACACAGTAAGGCTGAGGGCGCCCTCTAGTCTGGGGGCAGGACCGGCCTGGGCAGGACCGGCCTCCGCAGGAGCCCATGTGGTTCCCTCCTGTGAGGATGCGGCTGAAGACACAGTAACCTCTCCCCCAAGTGGCCATATTGCTCCACTTTCAGCTCAGGGACAACAAAACTTTCAATTCCCCTTCCTACCACCTTACCTCTTAGAGCTTAGGGGCCACACACCTAAACCCATCACCAAAACCATCTCTGGTAAGTCGGGTGAGCATTCTTGCTTTCTATACCTTTCCAGAAGAGATCTGGTATTCCACTTTTATTACCATTTCTGCAAAAAAATCACAACAAACTGGGAGCCTGGGTGGCTTAGCTGGCTAAGCGTTTGCTTTCCGCCCAGGTCATGATCTCAGGGTCCTAGGATGGAGTCTGGCGTCGGGCTCCCTGCTCAGTGGGGAGCCTGCTTCCCCCTTGGCCTCTGCCCCTCCCCTGCTTGTATGTGCGCTTCTCTCTCAAATAAAAAAATCTTAAAAAAAAAAAAATCACAACAAACTTATTGTGTGGCTGCCTCAGTTCTGGTCTTGGGAAGTGTGTTAGAAGTCATGGTGGGGGGGGGCCTGGGTGGCTCAGTGGGTTAAAGCATCTGCCTTCGGCTCAAGTCATGATCTCAGGATCCTTGGATTGAGTCCAATCGGGTTCTCTGCTTAGCAGGGAGCCTGCTTCCCTTCCTCTCTCTCTGCCTGCCTCTTTGCTTACTTGTGATCTCTGTCTGTCAAATAAATAAATAAAATCTTAAAAAAAAAAAAAAAGTCATGGTAAAACGTCCAGATAATTGTTACCCAGACAGGCAAGCAGTTCCCACTCTACTCCACATGAAAACGTGTGCAGAGAGAAAATGCAGAAACGTCAAAGGCGATTTTATCTTACAGGTATCAAGAGAGTAATACAGTATTTTGAGATATTCCAGGTCTTTCCCCCATAACCTACAACATTTCTGGTTCATGTCTCGAAAAATGGGCCATAATTATGCTTAAATACAAATAATCACGGTGGAATTATTTTTTCTGGAAATTAGAGGCTTTTTTTGTTTTAAGTAAAACTCTACTATTCCTCTGCTTCTCTACTTCCCTGCTTTTCTCTTTCTAACGTATGCAAGGGAGGCGTGCTCCAGCTTGCTCAATGAGCAGAACAATCCCAGATCTAAGCCAGGAAGCGCAAGAGGCCAGTCAGCCACCCGCATGCCCGGGGCCGCGGGCACCAGCGCTAACCGCCTGCCCGTGTGTCATCCCCTGCTCCTCTGCCACGGTCCACACACCCGTCTATGCGGTTAGTCCTTTTTAAGCAAACAAAACCAAAAACACAACCAAGATGTATGGTACCACTCTGCAATCAGCTTTATCATCATGCGACAGACGGACACATCTAAACTGAACACAGGTTTTGGAAACTGTATTTTTTACACTGAATGAACAAACACTCCATGATGTAGTCAATCATTCCACGTCGGTGGTCAGTGAAACGTGCAGGGGTTTTGTTTTTGTTTGCCACCGTGAACACTGTCCTTGTACTGCTTGCAAACCAGCTCCTGACTAGCGAGGGCTATTTCCACAGGAGAGACTTCCATGGGGGACTGACCCCAGGGAGAAGGCACAGTTACTCTGAACGATGCTGTCAGACAACGCACGGCCCTACTAACAGGGTGAGTGCCTGCTTCTCCACACCCTCACCACCACTACAGACTCTCTCTCTCACGTTTTGCCAACTGGACAGTGACAATGAACGCCTGATTACTGTTCTAACTGCCTTGTTTATGGCCATGATTTTCTGTGCGGCGTCCTCCTTAACTTTCTCTTCTAGAGTCTGTCTTTTGAGCTTCTAGGAGCTTTCTGTTATTCGGATTATTAACTCTTTGCCATCTGTGTACTGTTTTCCCTTCGGTTCATCAGTTGTCTTTGATTTTACTTTTGACATTTCAAACATTTTTGTATTCACTGTTTTTTTTACCTTCTTTCAAAACATCTGTACTAGGCCAAGGTTAGAGAGCTATTCTATTTTTTTCTAACAATTTTGCATTGTATTTTAAAATTTTAATCTTTAACCCATCTTGAACTCAGCTTGGTCTTCTTCCAGATGCAGAGCGAATGATACTAACATCATCCATTAGACAAATCATCTCCCCGTGTGGGATATCAGATCTCACACACGTTCGCCTCTGTTTCAAGCCTCTCTGTTCATGTCCTTTTATCCGTTTGTCCACTTCTGGGCCAACAGCATCCAGTGTTGATCACAACAGTTTCCTGGCTACTTTTTTTAAAAATATTTTATTTATTTATTTGACAGATAGAGATCTCAAGTAGGCAGAGAGGCAGGCAGAGAGAGAGGGGTAAGCAGGCTCCCTGCTGAGCAGAGAGCCCGATGTGGGGCTCGATCCCAGGACCCTGAGATCATGACCTGAGCCGAAGGCAGAGGCTTAACCCGCTGAGCCACCCAGGCGCCCCTCCTGGCTACTTCTGCTACCCACTAATGCAAATCTCCTCTAACTCTACTTTAGAAATTGTTTCTTGGCTATCATCAGACATATTTCCACATAAACTTAAAAAATAATCTAATCCTTCATATTTTTTGGTCCCTCGTTAGAATTTATTTCTCACATTTTCTGCAGTAAAATCCACAGCACTTACTCAAGAACCCATTACATTCCCAACAGCGATCGTCAGGATGGTGACAGCCAGAAAGGAGCATCAGACGCATCCTGGACGCTTACCGATGATCTTGGAGCCTTCGTAAGCCTTCTGCTCGCCCCCCTCGCTCATCCTGTAGCCCCGGGCAGAGCACACGTGGGCATGTCCCTGTCACTGCTGCCCTCACAGCTGGCATCGCTCTAGGCCTGTCCACCCAGCACGTACCAGACCTTACCTAAGTCAACTACTCAGTTAACCGCTGACTAGTAACTGGGTGAGTCCGGCTCCTCTCACCCTCTTGGGTGTTCCTAAGACTTTCAAGAATATCTGCGATCAACCTTGAAATCGCTGTGCTCGAATAGTGTGAAAAGAGCCTTGGCCACTGCCGGGAGTGAGCCTTTCCCCCACGAACGGATCTGCTCGTGTGTCTACTTACTCCTCACACTAACCCTGGGGGGGGAGGTGGGCTCACCCCCACCTGGCCAGTGAGAAAGTGAGGCTCGCAGAGCACAGAAGGGCCTGAGGAGCAGGACACACGCGATTCCAGGAAAAGAGCAGCTTCAGGCCGGGTTCAGAATCCCGAGTACACGGTCACGTTTCCCCAGGCCGCCTCCGAAAGCTGACCCGGCACGCCGTGTGCTGCGTTCGTTCATTCGGTGACCAAAACACTAGTTAGTGCCAGGCTGTTCCGGAGGCCGGGGATACAGTACGCAGCAAGTGAAAAGGCTGCGAAATCTCTGCCTCCATAGAGCTTCCACTCCAATGGGCAAATGACCAGAAGCCACAGAATAACCTGACAGCTAACATCTGAGAACCGACTGTGCTGTTCTGCGTGCTTTGCGGGAAATAACAAATTTAACCCTCACAGTGACGCTGTGAGCTCCCTTCTAGTGTTATCCCCACTTTACAGACGGTGTAAGTGAGGCACAGAAAGCACCTAAGCTGCTCAAGCTCCCGCAGCTGACGAAGTGCAGCCACAGTGTCTGAGCTCCGGCAGATGGCACTCGGCTCGGGCACGTCATGAGGCATTATTCAAGTATAATTAAACCACTTCGTGGACTAGAGCTCTTTTTGTGAGCTGTTCTAAGATTTAACCAACATTCAAACCACTTTTTATGTAGAAAATACAGTTTTTACACCCACCCCCCACACCCCCCAAAAAGGGGAGGGAGCAAAAACTCAGCGGCACCAGGAACAGGTTTTCTGCCATTCCTTGTGGCAAGGACCACGGTGACGGGAGAGGTTCCTTATTAAGGAAGAGACAGAACTCAGGAATTATGAAAAGCATGGACATCAAAACATAAAAATTCCCGTGGTGAGCACAGCAGAACGTGAACACAGGCCGAATCACTATGCTGCACACCTGAAGCTGACCTACTGTGGTGTGTCAACTACACTCGGGTAAAAAAATTAAAACCAACCAACCAACCATAAAAATTCCAGAAGCCACAGTTTGGTAATACTCAAGACAACTTCAGGTTTTTTACCAAATTATCAATGGTGAATGTCACTTGCTATTTTTTGGGCAACCCCACTCCGCACTGTGTGTGTGTGCGTGCATACACACGTGTGTTATTTCCCATTCTCTCTTTCGGCACACTGGCATCCTGAGCTACTCAGAAGCAGCAGCAGCTGGTAATAACATTTCACAGGCTGACGTGCCCACGTCCCTGAAGAGCTCTGCATCTTGGGCTGCTCACGTGCGCTGTGCCAGGTGCAAGGCTACGGAACACAGAAGACCACCCTGTGTGGAGGAAGTGACATCAGCTCGTGCCCACAACCGCCTTACTTGATACGCTACCTTTCGCAAGTGTAACACTCGCAGAACTCATTATTTTCTCCAAAAAACCCGTCTCCATAATAACAAGAAATCTCTTCTCCAGGCTCAATGTCTCTCAGGGCCTTCACACACGCCGTATCTCGACCGGTTGACACAAACTGAAATACAAACGGCTCATTAAGAAACTCATATGTGAGGCAGAAACAAAACACACAAGAAATAAAAAAGGTCTCTGCTTACCTTGCAGTTAGGTCTGCAATCTGAAAAATGTCCAAAAGATAAAGTCAATTAACTGTAGATAAGATCTGAAACACGAACAATTACAGAAATCTGAAATAAGCTTTCCACGTAATTTTATAACTTTCGATAGAAGTTTATGTCTCAAGTTCAACCACATCATTATTTATTTACTAAGCCGGTGGGGAAAGATAAAGATGTCCCATCGCCCACCTCCTCTGCAGGGAGACGAGGTTTTAGACGGTCTGACGAGGCCATGCCAAGTCTTAGCAGTCCTGCCCGCCACGCGCGCCCGCCCGACAAGCACAGCTTACCATGGTTGATAAAGGCGGCGGGGCCAAGCCAGAGCTGAGCACAGTTTTTCCTCGTGGAATACATGACACTGAAGTCGTTCTCTCCGTGTCTAAGTAGCATGTTCTCCTCAATTTCTGAAAGTTCGGCAATACAACCCACCAGTAATTCTATTTTGTCATTTCGTTTCCTATTTAAAATATGTCATGTTAAAAATTACTAGTAATTATAAATAACAAGGCTTCTTTTTAATAAAATAAGCCTGTCCAATCAACAGCAGGAATTGAGAATGCCTAGTTGTGTGTCTATCAGCTGAGACCCCGGGACCTCCACCAGGCTCCGTCCTTGCCCACCCTGGCAGCCCCATCCTGCCTTGTGCCCCGGCTGCCTGTGCAGCTGCCTGGTTGCTCTGAGGCCTGGGAGGCACTCCAGGCCGGAAGCTGCGCCACCACCCCGTCTGCGTCCCCTGCAGCACGCACTGTCGTGTTCTGTAGGCGGGAAGGACTCCAGTACCCGCGGCCCTGAACACAACCTGCTGACAGTGGATGAGGGAGACAGAGACAAGCAGGAGGAAAGGCCTCGGGGACCCAGGACTGGGATGCCACCCTCTAGAGCAGCACCATCCAAGAGAAACATGACGGAAGCCAAACACGGAATCCTCCACGTTCTAGCAGCCACATTAAGAAAGGAAAGACCAGGGCGCCTGGGTGGCTCAGTGGGTTAAGCCTCTGCCTTCGGCTCAGGTCATGATCCCAGGGTTCTGGGATCGAGTCCCGCATCAGGCTCTCTGTTCAGCAGGGAGCCTGCTTCCCCAACCCCCCCATCTGTCTCTCTGCCTGCTTGTGATCTGTCAAATAAATAAATAAAATCTTAAAGAAAGAAAAGAAAGACCACGTGGAATTACTTTTTGTTGTGTATTTTAACACAATATACCCCCAGTCCTATTCCAGCAGGTCATCAATGGAAGAAATAACGAGAACTACAGTTTAATGTAACATCTGGCACATAAAGCACACGGACAGCTCACACTGAGCCGCAAGTGGCTGTGCCTGCTGCACTGGACAGCGCAGTTCTGGAAGACAAGACCTCAAAGCCCAACGTCTGCCAACAACACGGGGAGCCTGTGGAGCAGGGGACCGGGCTCGAGATGCTCCCACGTACGTTCACGAGCACACGCCTATCCCAGAGGCCTGGGCGCGCTGCTCTTTGGCCATCCCATTCTCGGGTACCTGATTCTAACCTTTTTGCTATAAAAAATACTGAGGGGATTAAAGGCAGCTTATGAGAGGGGCAACATGTTCCTTCTCCTGGGAGATAACGTAAGAACAGGCATCAGAGGAAACACATAATCCCATATTCTCTCTCTCCTAAATGGCTTTCCTCCTCCTACCTGGGCTCAACTTCACCACCCGACTTACACGGGCACATATGTCTGTGTGGACATTTAGGCAGGCAATGCAGCAGAGCATTCCCACCTGTGAAAGTCCTAGGATCATTAAGACTTCACACCCCACCTTCCTCTAGGCAGCAGGAGATGGACCCTTGAAGCCAGGGGCTCCAGCCCTGGTGCCCACAGGCTTTCAGTAGCCTCTTCGCGGAGCTGCGCTCAGGCTCAGTAAAAGGAAGACAAGCAGTACGGTGGCTTAGGGACAGGGTCTGGTTCAAGTGAAATTTCTAATTTTGCTGTCCTGACCCAGGTCACTGGGCCAAGGCACTGGCACTGCCCTGACTTCTTTATGGTGAGCTCTGGCTTCACTCCTTCCCATAAGTTTCTCGGCACTCCCGCAGTTACTGAGGAGAGCCCTTTAATTAAAATGAAGCTATGGGCTTATACTAGTATAATAGTTACCACTCTTTTGTTGCAACTATTTTGGCTCCATTTTGTTCAGATGAGTATCTATTACAAGGTAGTATTTCAAATCCACTGTCAGTTGCAAACATTCGCAAGTAAATAAATACCTAAAACAGAAAAAAAATTAACTTTGTATCAAATCGTTTATCCTATTAGACTTGCTCAGTTATAAAAAGCAAACCATCACCAACAATGTAAAACATTTAAGATAATTAAGTAACAAACTCTGTTGTTTCAGTATTCACTAAAATTTAAGCTTTAGTTTCCTCTTAACCAAACAGAAAAACAGTATTAATCTTATCAATAAACCTACATGTTCCTTGAATAATTTCTCCTGCATTTTGTTCTTGTTGAGAAAATAATGCCGTGCCCATTCGCCTGAAGTCAAACATTTGAAGGCTTTCTCCAAGTGTTCATCTTTCTTAAAACGTTCAATGACTTCCTTTAGTTCCTCTTGCCTTCCCTTAATAGGCCGAAATCTGAACAAAATCAAAACATTCACTTTAGTTATTGTCATCATCCCTGGGACACTGCTGTGAGCTCCTGAGATAAGAGATAATAACCTAAAAGCAGCCAGACTTAAAAAAGACAATAATCAATAATCCTGATAACTACTGCTCAAGTAATAGTGCTCACCAGGAACTAGAACTTCTCTTTCTTCAAACTGTATGTCGCTATTTTTATTTACTGTTACCTCATTTAACTGAGAAATGGCCAGAGGACTCAGATGAAAGCTGTCTGACTCAGGCTCACGCTAGCCAGCTACTTCGGATGGTACAAAGTATCTAGAACAGAACGCGTCTACCTGAGAGTTAGAATGACAAGATTTTTTTAAAACATGCAGAACCAAACCAGAAGAGTGCAAGGCAATGAGCTTCAGAGGAATGAAGCAAACAACGTCATGCTGTCAACAACATTCTCCATGTGCACAGTTAGAAAAATCCCAAACCAACTAGTATCCCAGGAGCTACCGAAACACGTCTTAACATTCTAACACCCACGTGAAATCAATCTTTGATAAATACATTCAGAGAGCGAAGGAGAGTTTTGCAAAACGCACAACTCTAGCGGGGATACTGCTGAACTGGTGATCTCAAAGGGAAAAACCGCTGGGGTAGAATCCTGAAGGGCTTCTACGTAAAACCAGCCATGCCTTCAGAATACTGCACCATCGTGGCCCGAGAAAGACTCTGTAAAGCCCCTTATTCTAAAGCTGTGTTCTCTCAGTAAAACGTGTACTTGCATCTTAATTTTAAAATTTCCTCTCGTGTCAATTTCCTTTGGTTTATTTTCCCAAATAAAGTTCTTTTGTTTTGTTTTTGGAATGTCCAACAATAAAATAGGAGCTTGACCGCTATTCAAATAAACTGTTAAGAAGAAACTATTAGTGGTGGAGATGAAAATGTATTTGAACTACGCATCTTACCCCAACAATTAAAACTGAATGTCTTGTGAACCCTGCGCGCATGAACGTGGAAGTAAGATCTGGCACTAACTCCAGCACGGGGAGAATCCAAGCAGAACTTTTTTCCAGGTAAGCCATCACAAAGGCCCTCATCACATGTTAGTGAGATTTCAAGCCACAGCACCTCACCAAGCATTCTTTACTAGGTGCTGAGTACACAGCTGGTGTGGAAAAAAATATGAGAGAAGACATGACCGCTGCTCTTGAATGGAAAAACCCTCTGGGACTAAGAGACACACCCTGTACCCAGCCGCTAAGCAGGGGCACGGCTCCGCTACTGCAAGGGAACAGGGTACAAACCACAGCCGACAGCGCTTCCAAGTGTGGCGACTACAACTAAGGGTAAGGTAAGTCACTGCTCAGTGACTGAGCAGTGAGGACAGCAGCGGCGGCAGGCGGAGTGAGGGAAGCTGAAGCAGAGGATCTTAACGCGGGTGGATTCAAAGAGTTGAACAGGGGCTGAGGGATTCTGCTTGGCCAGCAACACTGAGGGAAAGTGCTAGAACAAGGAAGAGGGTAGACGTGAGCCCCTGAGTGGGGGGAGTGCTGTTTACTGGACAGGACCCCTAGGGGACCTCCACTCTAGAAATGCAAGCTGACCCCCACCGGGAACCAACAAGCCACAGCCTCAGGTGTCAGTAAGCCTCCCACAGCCAGTGAGCGGAACTATGAGAGAGACTCCAGGCGTATCGCGGAGAGATCATACGACCAAGGGGACAATGCCCTATATTATTTTCCATTCCAGTCAATCAGCACACCAGCTCTCACAGGCAGGCGAGTGCAAGTCCTTTAAACAATTCAGAAGGTCTCTGGGCTGTCGGGATAGGGTTTCGGGGAACCACTGCTAAAACGATCTACAAAATCCCCTGCAGAGTTGTGGGAACATCCACACTTCCACACCGACAGAATATTAAACCGCTCACTCGCAGCCACCACAAGAGACCTCGTCAAGATTGGCTTTCTTAGAAGACCTGAACCCTCCTGGCCCCAGCGCGGCACTGGGAAGCTCCCTGCAGAGAAAGGACACAAACGGCAGCTGTCGGCTCCGGCACAGCTCCTCGAGCACGACAGGCTATGAGATGGCGGGAAAGAGAGGACCCACGTTTTGAGGAGGAAGCAGAAAAGCCAGCGTTCACTTAGAGCAGAAGCGAGCAGTCACCTGCGAGGTCGGCGGCAGGGAACCGAGTTTCACGCTTTAAGCTGACCCGACGACTCGACGCCTTAGAAAGCGAGCCCAAGTCAGGGCTAAATCCACCTCAAGCTCCTAAGAAGGCGTCAGAAGTAAGCTACAGACCTGAAACGGAGAAACGGAGGCTGGCTCCTCCAGACAGGCTTTCTGCGCGCGCTCCACTGCGGGACACCCGCCCTCCCTCTCTGAAAACGCCTGCCAGCCCTCCTTGGTTCTGCTTCCCCTCTGTCCACGATGCCAAGGAACTCACACGCTGAAACCGACCCGAGACAACCGGCTGTCGGTCCGGGGGCAGTCTGTCTTGGGTCTCCCGCGCCCACTTCGTTTCTGCGTTCCCGACTTCGACTGCTTCGAGCACAAACAAAACCCCTGCAACTGTCCCCTGCTGCTACCCACTGGCGAGGACCTCCATTTCACATTAGATGGAATTTCCTGTCCAAACCCACTGTGTTAGCTGGCTGCCGCAGGCGTGAAATGACAGTGAGGCAAAGGAGGAAGAGACGGTTCTGGGTGCAGACAGAAGGGGACGGAAAAGGTTTTCGATGACCCTATAGGGGCACATCAAAACCACCTGGCTGGCAGTTCAAGTCAAAGCCCATTACCACAGATACTGCGGGGAGATAAATTACTGAGTAACATAATTGTTACAACTAACCGGGCCAGAGCAAAAGGCACTGAAAACCCTAGAAAAAAGTGAACTATTTTTTCTATTACTGAGGAGAAAAATACCCTTTGTCCTCTCCTTAACCACAATCGTTCTAAACCTACCACGCAAACTGTACAAAACTACCCTCACACCACAGTTCTTAGAGCTGGAAGAATATTTAGGTTATGCGAAACGAAGCTCTTGTCCATCAGTGAGGAAAACAAGGCCTAATGAGGGCTGTTAATAGAGGGACTATTACCACCAAGGCCTTGTGCCCAGTCCCACTCTCTGACGCAGACTCTGAGGGCCCTCTGCTGTTTCATGATCAGAAGAGGATTTGACCTACGTTCGCCACTGAGCACAGCAGGGCCCAGCCAGAGACTGGAAGTGGACTCAAATATCTACTTTTGAATTTCGTATCTGGGGGGGGTGGCAAATGGCATGGTAGGGCAGACAAGAGACAGGTCTCTGGCATTTCCAAATCAGTATGTCCCTCTTCCCTCTCTTAATACAAACTTTACAACTTTAAATGAACCAAACGTTTTTCTCTTCCCACATGTCTGATCAATGGCTGGTATAAGAAATACAAAAATATGTCACTTAAATCATTTATTATTAAAAAGGGCAGAAAGAAACATGAATTCACACTCCCACACACCTGTTCCCCACTCTTTCCAGAGACTGACTTCCCAGGTTTTCTTGCTATTTGGTTTTTCTGTTTCCAAACCCAAGGGACCACTGTGGCAATGAAGGGAAGCGGCAGATGTGTGTTAGCTGTACTACTGTGCCCTTCCATTAGCATGTACACCCAAGAGCTGACTGGAGGGAGGGCGAGAGAGGAGGGGGACAGAAAAAAGGGGGCAAGGGAAGGAGGGAGGAAGAGAGAGAAAATGCTCAAATATTTAAGGTATAAAATAAGACCGTGAGGCAACATTGCGAACACATTTCCCCCTCTGAAGAAAGTTCGACTGCACACGGACAGCTGGCAGACGCTGAGGAATCATGCTAGAACCACAGCTCCTCATTCCTTCTGGACCTGAAAGGAAACGACCACCAGAGACATACCTGGCTGAGTCCTGCAATCAGTGCTCAGCTAATCCCAGGGGGTGACTCCTGATCTTTTGATGAATGCTCTCTCTTAAAATTACCCTGTTGTGGAGTACAAGTGGTTTTTTAAATGCAGCTATTACTAACATCAAACTATTTTAAATGGTTTGCAAAATGCTCTAAAAATCGTGTCTATGCTGACACCTCCAATTACTTAAAGGAACGCGGCACGGACTGACACAGGTTAGTTGGTATCTTCTTACCGTTCGTAACGCGCTCTACCTACCTCACAGGGTTGTTGTGAGGAAAACTGTCAGATTTTGAAAAATGCCTTGAGCTCCTCGAAGGAAAGGCGCTATATAAATGCAAAAACAAACAACAATGATAAAAACTATTTGTATAAGTTGTATTTATAACTTCTAAACAGACTTACAATAGTCGTCATCCCACAAGTCCTTACCACACTGTGACACCCAAGAGCTCTGGGAAGCTGTGGGCAGACTCAGCACAGTAACAAAGGCCGAGATGCCCAAATTCTCCTTCCCACGCGACATCCTCTCCCCCTCGATCACATTAAGTTAGAATGCCTAAAAATGTCTTTTTGTTTTCTAATCAAGCACTTGATTTTAAAGTAACATTTAAAGTGATTTATAAATTCTCACCCCACAATGGATATTAAAGTCAAATATATAAATAAACAAAATTAGATGGTCACAGCAAAGGGTAAGACAGGCCGAAGTATAAATTGGATTAGAAAAATAGAGAAAAGTTCCAAAATTCCTGGGAAGATTCTCCCCATTTCTTCATTGTGTTATTTCCTGCCCAGTGCCCCCCACTCCCCAGGAGATGGAAACCTCCAGGTCATGCCGCCTACAACAAGGGATATTAGGAAGGCATCCACCCCTGCTTTAAACTATCACCTCTCCATGTGCCTTTTTTTTTTTTTTTAAGATTTTATTTATTTATTAATTTGTCAGAGAGAGAGAGAGAGACAGAGCATAAGCAGAGGAGCCTGATGTGGGACTTGATCCCAGGACCCTGGGATTGTGACCTGAGCCGAAGGCAGATGCTTAACCAACTGAGCCACTCAGGTGTCCCTCTCCATACTCTTTTTAAAAAATCAGAGACAATGAAGAAAAAAAAAAATCAGAGGCATGACTGGCAACTCTGCTCTCTGCTCTCAAATTCATATGAAATAATTATATTCATAATTCATATTCATATTCATAATTAACAAAAGTCAACTAAATCTAAATATTTCCTAATAAATTGAAATTACCACTTTGTTTATACCATTTCTAGATAATCATGGTATAACCGTGACTTACTTGTCTGTAAATGTAGGGATCTATCAAGATTAAAACATAAACATTCATAAGAGAGCCAGCTAGGGAATTTTTTTTTTTGAGATTTTATTTATTTATTTGACAGACAGAGAGCACAAGGAGGCAGAGAGGCTGGCAGAGAGGGAGGGAGAAGCAGGGAGAGAGGGAGAGAGTCTCAAGCTGACTCCTGGCTGAGTGCGGAGACCGAAGCGGGGCTCAATCCCACGACCCCGAGATCACACCCTAAGCTGAAACCAAGAGTTGGACACTCAACTCACTAAGCCACCCGGTGCCCCAGACCGCATATTTTCACATGAGCCTAGGAAACTACTGATAAGGAACTTTTTAACACTGATGACATCATGACAAAGCTCAGTAGGTCAGATGGCCTAGGACCTTGCTATTCCAAGCACAGGCGGAAGCTTGTTACAAGCGGAGCGTCTCAGGCCCCAGCCCACAGCTCCTGAATCAGAAACTGCGCCTGCACGAGACTCCCCAAGTGACTCACGTGTAAACTAAGTGTGGGAAGCAGTCGTCAAAGAGGACTTTTATTTAAAAATCGGAGTCATCTCCTACTGCAGAAGCTCATCTTTGGCACAAATGGCTGGGGAGAGGGACGTGAATACACAGGAATTCTTTCCTAAACCACTGAAAATAATTTAATTCTGATGCAATGCTTTCTAAGACAGCTTACGTGTTCCCGTGTTTCAGTATACAAGGCATGATGAATGTCATGTTCATTCTTTCTTCTCGTTCTTGATGACTCTGGGTCATAATTATGGGCCTTTGCAGTAATACCCAGAGTATCTCTCAAACTGTTATGTGAAAGTGAGTCACGTTTCTGAAATATTATCAGGACCTTCCAGGAGAACGGGCGCCGGCCTCACTGGGGAAAGAAGGGAAATGGACTCAAAACAATCCAAATCAGATTCTAACTGGATCTAGGGCATCCGGTCCTATTGACTTTCTAGACAACAGCCATCCACCTGCCTACTTAGAAAATCTAGGTCTCTGCCCCTCTGACAGCCGGGGCTGTTTCAGTAAGTCTTCAAATCCATGGCAACTCGTCACTTCATTTTAGCAAGGAAAGGAAAGATCTATGATGCCGGGAAATCACGTGAAAATACCAAAGGCTTGCGGCCTCTGGGTGGCTCAGTCGGTTAAGCATCTGCCTTCAGCTCAGGTCATGATCCCGGGGTCCTGGGGTTGAGCCCCACGTCAGGCTCTCTGCTCAGCAGTGAGTCTGCCTCTCCCTCTCCCCCTGTTCATTCCCTTTCTCTCTCTCACATAAAATCTTTTAAAAAGAAAAAAGGAAAAAATACCAAAGGCTCATTTTTATCTGAATTACTTCTTTCTCAATTTAGAATATAATTGATAAATGAATCATATGGTCTCTTGTTTTAAATTCTAGCAAGGGACAGAATTAAAACAGGAAAAATGGCACAAGATTTCCTCTAATCACCTTTACTCACCAGTTCCTCCCTCACCCCGCTACCAGCGACTAGTCACCTGGTGATCAGGTCTCTCTAGGGCTGTCACTGGCCCTTGAGCTACAAAAATCAGCGCAAGTGTGAGGAGGATGGGAGGGATCAGGGCCTAGAACTGGCTTGACATTCTCAGTCCCTGCTGTTAACACTCTTCCACCAGCCTTGAAAACCCTTTGCCAACTCAAGTCAAGAGGTAAAGAAGAGTTGTGAGGTTCGAACTTAGTGTCTGGTGGCAATTATGAAATTTTCTAATGGTCTTTTTTGGGGGAAAGATGATGTTTAAGAGAATATAACAGATTTCACAAGCAATGTAATACCACCTCATACAGAGCGCATGTGATACTCAATAAAGCACTTATGCATCTCTCATCTGCATACTGAACAGAAGCACGTCTTTAAAAATATTCACTTCTACAATGATTAGCTGAACCTCAAAGATTAAGCATGATGGCAAAATTTTCTATATACAGTTGCAATTATTTAAAAGAAGAAAAGTCTATGATAAAATCATGGGGGAAAAAAAACCCTGATGAACCTACTTTGAGGAGAAAAAAAATCACATACATTTTCAAGGTTTCACAAGATCTTTCTTTCAGCTGAGATAATTATCATTAACATGTAAAACAGAATATGAGATGCTCCTCCGGCTTTATATTTTAATAGAAACAGCCTGAGATAAAATAAGAACACGGAATTAAAACTGACAAGACCCTTAGAAGCTTTTGTTGCTTTTCTTGGCTCACATATAGAAAATCTCTTTTAATGTCATTTTAAATTCTGACTAGAAGTAAAATTAGCATCTCTTTTCTTAAATTCTACATCATCATCTGCTCCACTTCAGGATAAAGACTCACAATTACCTAGTATTCATTTTGTGTGTTTGAAAACCTAAATAGGGATCAAGAACCAAGCTGGTCGCCAGGTCATCATTCTCACAGAGCTCCTTGGCAGACATTCCCGAAGACGGTACATATCGGCTCTGCCCTTCAAATCCCGAATTACCATTACCTATGAAAAGGAAAGAAAGAAAAGTTAACTCAAATGGACGACGACTTCTATTTACCCATAAAACCTTTAGCTTCACTGCCCTCTCGAGCTAGTAATTAAGAATTGAAACCACTTGTTTCAATCTGTTTAATTAAGGACTGAGTACCTTTTGCATAAACAGGGAAGCAAACACGGTGAATTACAGAGAGTCCTGTGGTTAGGAGATGACAGGATCAGGGTTCCCAAGAACAGGGTCTGACCAGGTGAGAGAATCCTGGGCTCACAGGCCATGTGGGCCCTTCCCGGGAGACAGGAACAGGGATGAGCGGACGCCCATCACCACAGCAAGACAGCAAAGTCGAGGGCCACTGCGGCTGGGGGCAGGGGCGAGGACCCAGGAAGAGCACAGGACGGGCTCCGCAGTAAGTGCCAGCAGGGTGGCTCTCCAGGAGCAAAAGGAGTCTGGAGGACGCTACTTCACCTTCCTGCTTTGGGGCAGGAAGAGAAGAACGATCCCCACTCGGCCGACGGCGGAGGCCCACCGGTTAGGAAGCTCGCCTGCGACCTAAGGCCTTAGGTGGCAGGAGCGGGGAAAACAGTACAGAGACTCGCAGGCCGATTTCCGACCCATTTGAAACAGATTTGGAACGGATGGGCACCAGCAGGGAAGTGCCCGAGGTAACTAACGGAACTAACTGGGTCTGGTGGCGGAAGAAACCTCGCAGACAGGGAACGGGAAGGCCACCCTCGTCTGGGTGAAGTTTCATCGGTGCTGACTGGCGCTGGCTCCGTAGGTCAGGGACGGTCTTTCCAGCCAGGCCGTTATGCCAACAGCGTAACTTTAAACCTCTCACAAGTAAGGCATGGAAGAATGAAGGACCCAGTGAGAGGTAACCTTTTCTTCACTCTCTCAAAAAAACAAATTTAACACTAAACATACGGAAGGCCCTACGGAAAGGCAGGTGTATGTTTTGGAATCAAACCATTTGCACATAGGTATTTAAAAGGCATCCAAGTTGTTGTATTTTCTACGTTATTGAAATGTAACTCACACACCACAGGATTCACCCATTTAAAGCACACAGTTTAATGGTTTTTAATGTTTTCACAGAATTGCGTAGCCGTCGCCACAATCAATTCTACCACATTTTCATTATTCCCAAAACAAACCCCATACCCATGAGCAGCAGTCACTTGATTTTCCCTTCCCTCAGCGCCAGCAACCACTGATCTACTCTCTGTCTCTACAGATTTGCCTGGTCTGCAAATTGCCTATCGATGAAATCATCCAATATGAGGTCTTCTGTGATTGGCTTCTTTCAATTAGCATAATGTTTTCAGGGTTCATCCATGTGGGACCACACAGCAGTACTTTGCTCCTTATTACAGGCCAAGTAATATTCCATTGTGTGGACAGATAGTCTTTTGTTAGTTCATTCATCAGCTGACGGACACTGGGCTGTTTCCACTTTCGGGCTGTTATGAATAATGTTTCTATGAACATTCATGTAAAAGTCTCTGTGTGGACCTATATTTTCCATTCTCTCAGGCACACACCTAGGAGTGGAAGTGCTAGGTCATATGGTAACTCTGTGTTTAACCTTCTGAGAAACTGCCAGACTTTTCCTAAGTGGCTGCACAATTTTACATTCCACCAGCAGTGTATGAAGGTTCCTAAATTCTCCACATCATCACCAACATCCGCTACTATCTGTCCTTTTAGTTTGACACATTCTGGCGGCTGTGAAGTGGTATCTTGTGGTTTTGATTTGCATTTCTCGGATGACTAATGATTTCAAGCATCTTTTCACGTACTGGCCATTTGTGTATCTTTGGAGAAATATCTATGCAGATTCCCTTGCTCATTCTGAATTAGAGTTTGTCTTTTCCTGCTGACTTGTAAGAGTTCTTTGTATATTCTAAATGCCAGTCCTTTATCGGATACAGGATATGAAAAGAAAATTTCTTTCCCTCCCATCTCGTGAGTTGTCTTTTCATGGTCTTGAGGTTATCCCTTAGAGCACAAAAGTCCGTACTTTAATGCATTTCCATTTATCTTTATTTTTCCTTTTGTTCCTTGTGCTTTTAGTGTCCTAAAAAACCACTGCCTAATCCAAAGTCATGAAAATATGTGCTTATGTTCTCTAGGAATTTTATACTTAAGGTCTTTGATCCATTTTGATTAATTTCTCACACACAGTGTGAAGTTGGGTCCAGCTTCATCTTTTTGCATGTAGATACCCAATTTTTCAGCATCATTTATTGAAAGACCATTCTTTCCTCAATTAATTTTCTTGGTATGCCTGTTGAAAATCAACTGATTGCAGATGTGAGGGTTTATTTCCAGATTCTGGATTCTATTCCATGGATATATGTCTAGCCACGTACCAATATAGTAACACTGCAGTTCTGCAGGAAGTTTTGAAAATGAGAAGTGTAGGTGTGCCATCTTTGTTCTTTTTCAAGATGTTTTGGCTACTCTGGGTCCCCCGAATTTCCACAATGATTTCAGGACTGGCTTGCCAATTTCTCTGCAAAGGAGCCAACTGAGATTTTGACAGGGACTGTGTTCAATCTGTAGATCACTTGGGGAGTACTGCCATCGTAACAATATCAAGTTTTCTAATCAACGAACATGGGATGTCTTTCCCTTTAGTTAGGTCTTTTTAAATTTCTCTCAACAATGACTTGTTTTCAGAATATAAATTTTATACTTTTATTGTCTGCATCCTGACTCTATCCTGCTAAACTCATTTATCAGTTCCAATAGTTTTAAGTGGATTCCTTAGAATTTTTTATACACACAGTCATGTCATCTGCAAACAGATTATTTTACTTCTTCCTTTCCAATCTGGATGCCTTTTAATTTTCTTGCCTAAGTGCTGTGGTTAGAACCTCTAGCACAATGCTGAACAGAAGTGATGAGAACAGATATTCTTATCTTAGCCCTGATCTTAAGGGAAAAGCATTTCATCTTTCACCATTAAACAGGACATCAGCTGTGGGTTTTTGGAGACATTCTTTATCGGGTTGAAGAATTAATTATTCTATCCCTGGTTTGTTGAGTGTTTTTACCCTGGAAGGGTGTTGCTGAATTCTGTCAAATGTTTTTTCTGATCTACTGGAATGATCATATGGTTTTTGTCCTTCATATTACAGATACGGTGGTATTACATTAATTTTCAGCTATTAAGTCAACTTTGCATTCCTGGGATAATTCCCACTTGCTTGTGCTATAGAACCCTTCCCACTTCTTGCTGGATTTGGTTTGTTACTATTTTAGTGAGGATTTTGTATCCACATTTATTAGCAATCAATTGGTCTGTCGTTTTTCTGGTATTTTTTCTTGTGATATCTTTGGTCTTGGCGGCAGAGTAATAGTGGTCTCATTGAATGAGGAAGTGCTCCCTTCTCTTCTGTATTTCGGATCAGTGTGTGAAGAACTGGGGTTAATTCTTCTTTAAATATCTGCCAGTGTTCACCAACAGAGCCATCCAGGCCTGCAATTTTCTTAGTAGTGTTTTTTACAAATTATGGATTCAACCTCTTTACTTGCTACAGGTTTATTTAGATTTTGTATTTCTTCTTCAATCAATATTTGTAGTTTGTTACTTTCTATGTTCATTTCATCTAAGTTCTCTCATGTGTTGGTATCCAGGTGTTCAGAATATTGAGCTGTAAACTTTTTTATTCCTGTGAGCCAGTAGTAATGTCACCGCTTTTCTTTCTCGAGTCTTCTCTTTTTCTTGGTTAGTCTTGAGTAAAGGTTTGCTAATTTGGGTGATCCTCTTCTCTTTTCAAAGACTCAACTTTTAGCTTTACTGATTTTCTGCTGTCTCTCTATTTCCCTACTTTGTAAATTTCTACTCTATTATCCCCTTCCTCCTGCTTGCTTTGGGTTTAGTTTTCTCTGCTTTTTTTGCTGTTTCAAGTAAGAAGTTAAGTTACCGATGAAGAGTTATCTTTCTTCTTTTTTTAATACAGGTGGTCACAACTATAAATTTCCCTCTAGACACTGCCTTAGCTGCATTCCTATAAGTTTTAGTATGTTGTATCCTCATTTTCAATCATCTTGAAGTACTTTCTCATTTTTCTTGGATTTCCTCTTTAATTCATCGGTTATTTAGGAGCGTGTTGTTTAATTTCTCAAACTGCTGTGATTTTCTAAAATTTCTGTTATTCGTTTCTAACTTTACTCCACTGTAATCGGAGAACATACACTGTATGGTTCCAATCCTCCAACATTTATTGAGGCTTGTTGCATGGGACAACCTATGGCCGACTCTGAAGAACATTCCATGTGCACTGAAGAAGGACGTGTGTTCTGCTGTCATGGGGTGGTGCGTGACACAGCTATCCGTCGGGAAGAACTCGTTTAGGGTACTGTTTCAGTCTTCCTTCCCCGCTGGTCTTTGGCCTGGTTGTTCCATTCATTACTGAAAGCTGAAGTCAAATTACTGCTGAATTCTCTGTATCTCCCTTCAGTTTTGTCTGCTGCTGTGTCACGTACCTTGCAGTTCTGCTGTCAGGTGAAGTCGCTATAACTACTAAGGACGGAGCACAACTCCGTTTCGCTTCCCTCTAGGCTCTCGAGTTGTACCACTCCTGTGCAGTCACACTCGGCGTGACGCTGTCCATCTCCACACTCACTGGGGTTTCCCAGCCTGTCCTCAGAACCGGTCTGCACTTGGCAGAGCGTAGCATATGTAACGATCATTCTCTGTGTCATGTACTGCCGACAATGAAACTAATGAGGCCAAAAGCCATTTGAAAAAACAAAACAAAGAAAAGTAACCAAAAAAAGTTGCCTCATCCACTGACCAGAGGCAATACCACTAGCTAGGGCCACGACACCTCTCACTTCCTTCAGGTTCCCATCACAAGCTCCGGGGTGAGCAGGAGTCCATGAGGAGGAGAATCTATTCAGTTTTGGGCTCTCCCTCTAACTCCTATCCCAAGCGGGGCTTTCTGCCTTGTTTTCACAGCCGCGGTGACCCGCGCTGCTACGGAAGCACTGGGGGCAGCCCAGGCCCAGTGAAGTGCGTGAGTGTCTGGACGGCAGGGAAGGCACCGTCAGAAGCGGGGCAATGTATCCGAAACTGCTCCAGGTCCCAGGCAAACCCAGCTCGCCTCCGGACAGGCCAGCGGCAAGGCAAACTAGGCTCTCCTGGAAGGCGGTTAACGTAACCTCGGGAGAAGCCGGAGCAGAGAAAGCTGCCCTCCTTACCATGGCTGTACCCCCTCGGATACCTTCATCCAGCTGCCTACTCAGGTGCACAGTTATGCTGGGGCACGTTCCCGCTCTCAGAACTCTCAGCGGTAAGCCTGGAGGTGACGAGGTACAAAAGTCGCTTGTCATCCCCGGCACTCCCGTGTCAGGATAAATGACTGTTCAGCCCATGTGAACAGAAACAACGGTGACAGTTTGGGACAGTGCCCTGAAGTCCACTTCCTCTGCACAGCGGACTTGACGACCTATTGCTAAGCTTTCAAAGAAAAACATACTTACGCTTACATCAGATGTAAAAAATACAGTTTGAACTTGCAGGAAATCCAGTGGCAGCTCTTGAATATTCTTTTACAGAACGGACTGAGCACTCAGGCACACATCCTACAAAACGTAACTTGGTCATGGATCTGAGAGCGTAACTACAGTGATCACGTTAAGCGCTACACGAGAGGTATGCACATCAGGCGCCGATAAGAGCCGTTTAACTTTGAAAGGGTAAAGCATGCCGCTCGAACCGTGCGAACACGAACAAGGGCTCGGGAAAGCCAGAATACACATTCCAAGCTGCAAAGAAGGCCTGCCCGGAGGACCGCGAACAGGACAGCGGTGCTGTGTACATACATCTGCTTGACCTCCTCTCAGCCGTGTGTCTGCCGGCCTTCGTGGCCTCCTTGCCCGGGGGCTGCAACCTGGGCGGGCTCTGCTGCTGGCCGCCACTCCTCCTGCCATTCACCACCATGTTCTTGGGTTCGCCCAGCCACTTCATGCCCACAGACCGCCTGACCCAGGTGCATTGAGTCGCTGTCTTCAGAAGGCTCAGAGGATAATCCCAACGTTCTCTCCTGACGGAGACAAAATACGAAAAACAGAACCGGGAGGTAAATACACAGATGCCCACACTACCCGGGCCCTTGAGAGAGCTACAAGGCATGACGGCTTCGGTGCTGGGAGCCACGGAGGAGCAGCAGCCAACCCCGCCCGCCCGTGGCCTTGAGGGTGCGGGGTGCTCCGCTGGGGCCGCGGGGAGGGAAGAACGGGAGCAGCCGAGCCTCAGCCCTCGCGGGCGCCCCCCTGGGCACACCGAGTCGGCGTGGACATGATCCAAGGCGTGCCATGGGTCCGCTCGAGGTCTCCAAGAACAAGTGCCCCCTCGAGTTCATTGAGGAACGGGTGGGGACACACAACCGTGCCAAGAGGGAGAGAGAGGAGCCCACGGGCGTGGGGGCAGCCACGAGGAAGGCGGCAGCCAAGGGCTGAACCCCATACCTCTCTGTGTAGAATAAAGCCTTTTTTTTGGCGGGGGGGAGGTAATTTAGTAACTGAAGTTTCCACTCTTTAAAGACCACTTGGCACCCCAAGCCATCCAGGGCTGTGCTGAGGCCTCTAGCACCCCGACTCCGCGGGCAGGGAGCTCACGGCCGTGCACGTCGCCTGCGCTGTGCTCAGAGACCGGTGAATAGAAAACGCTCCAAGTACTTCCCTCTCAGCCACCAGGAAGGTTCGTTTTGCACCTTGTTATGCTGGGACTCAGGTACAGTGCAGCAATCTGCCCAAATGACACGCTTTGGTAACAGTATATTAACTGTGCAAGAACTACTGTTCTCTCTTCTGTTCCGAGAACTTAAGAAAAAGTATCTAAGTTCAGTTTTGTCCACAACAGCTTTGTCTTTTGTTGTTAATTTGAAGCCAACCATCAAGGTGTTTCAGGGACTGACACTCAAATAGCAAAGCACTGCCCATCGTGAAATGTTTGCCTTTACAACAGCAACAGAAATTGAGAGACGGTATTTGCTAAAATAGAGATATCCTTCACCATCTGAATTTTAATTAGCTGAAATTGGGAACTGGATGATTTTGATGGTGAGGGATGTCTGTAATTTATATGGACCTTTGGAAGTAAGGGTGTAACAGATTACATTTTGCTGGTCATGGAATGAGAACAGGGATGTCCGTGGCATGGCCTCATTATGGAATTATGTTTTATTGTAAATCAGACTAAAAGAGCTCCAGGATAAGAAAGTGCAAACACACAGAACTTCGGAGCTAAAGGGGCTTTAAGATCCCAGTACAACTCCTTCGATTTGCAGGCGGAATGGACACCACAGAGGCGGAGAGGTCCCACGCCCCGGCCATACCATTGGCCGTGGCAGAGTAGGGAGAACCCAGCACTGTTGCCTGAGGATCTCTTCCTACCCCAAAGGCCAATTTCCCTTATTTTTTTCAAACACAAAAAACACAAATGATACATTATCTTGAAGAGCTTCTAGAAATGTATACCTGGTCATACCTTTAATGATACCAAACAAAAATACAAAACATTTATTTTTTTAAAACCTTCATTTATTTTAGAAAGCATGTGCATGCGTACAAGTGGGGGGAGGGACGAGAGAGAGAGGGAGGGGATCCAAAGCAGACTCCCTGCTGAGCACAGGGCTCAACTCGGGGCTCATTCCCGTGACCCTGAGCTCAGGACCTGAGCTGAAACCAAGAACAGATGCTTAACCAACTGAGCCACCCAGGCCCCCCGGAACTCATTTCTGCGTTGTTTTAAACTGTAAAACACTAAAGTTATAACCTGACCTCTTCAGTCCTCTTCTTTCTCAAGACGCCACTCTGTTAAAGGCAGCAAGCGAAGCCCCCCGCGCCCCCCCGGCAGACAAAGACATGGCAGGAACGGCAGCCACTGCGGACAGCAACCTGCCCATGACCTGCCCCTCCCACCTGCTGCTTCACCCCCCACTTCCACACCTTCAGAGGAAAAGAACAAGAAGGAGAAGGTCAAGTGCTTTTGGTCCTCGAGGAAGTCCATCTCAAGAACGCCCTCCTAGGACACAGTTTATGGGGCATGGCGGAAGAATGTGTTTTCAGGACTCAGGAGTCCTAACACCCTTCAGCGCTGAGACCTAAAACAGAACCACGTGGGAGAGAAAGGAGCAACGTGGCTTCAGAGAGAATTAAGAGAGAAAAGAAAGAGCAAGTCCTCTCTCCTCGGAGAATCCTGAATCCCAACCACGACCCTCACTCAGAGATCAAAAGCAGAAAACCCGGACGAAGCCCAGCAGCTTGTCCTTAAGTCAGCCCCGCTCGAGGTCCTGATGTAAGCTCCTGTGGGAGAGCTACTGCTCTCAGTTGCTTACTCGTTCACTCCATCATCTGTTAGGGTAAAGGGCGATGCCAAAATTTTAAGCTGAGGAAATTATACCTATTGACCTAATTTTTTCCCTGAGAATTAGGAAAAGTTTGCCAATAAATCAGCACACTTCAGCCCAGTTCATGCAGCAGAGCCTGAGATCCACTCTAATTTACACACAATTTCAACTAAACCGAGGATTAATGATCTACCCAAATCGGAGCAAACTCATTACCTTTCGTGTCATTTGTACTGCAGTCAACTGATACTATTTTGTTGGAACTATTTAAATACTAAGGCGTCAGCGCGTCCATCAGAGAACGCGGCTGATTTCACTAGATGCGCGCCGTGCGGGGCAGCGTTCATCTCAGCAGAGGCTCCCACACTCTCCACTTGTTCAGGTAACAGCGGCTGTCATTAAGGCAAAAGACTTCATTTACGTTCACAAATGAATTTTCCTGTAAAACCAGTTCTAGTGAAACTATAGGAAATTTGGGAGCGGCTTACACATTTCTAGCTCAAGGGGGGCCTGGATGGCTCAGTCGGTTAAGTGTCTGCCTTTGGCTCAGGTCGTGATCGCAGAGCCCTCGGATCAAGCCCCTTCTCGTGTTCAGTGGGGAGTCTGCTTCTCTCTTTCTCTCTGCCCCTCTTCCTGTTCGTGTTCTTTCTCTCAAATAAATAAAATCTTAAGAAAAAATTTCTAGCTCAAAATGAACATATATCCTACAAACTGGGCACCGATCGTTCTGCCCGCCCGAGCGCGGCACCTGCTGGTCGGCACGGCTCTCCGGCAAGCGCACACGCCGAAAGGACGCGTCCGCACTGAAGCTGGAGATGCAGTTTCAAACACTGCCACAGCCCATGCGGGACAGACTGTGACGAAGCGGAAGCTGAGGACACTGGGTGGCTAGCAAGGCCGACAGGCTTCTCGATGCCCACGGAGGTCCCACTCCCAACAGAAGCCAGAGCACAGTCTCTCTGGCTGGGACCAGACAGCTCACAGAGAAACACCACCATGGTGTTGACTTGGCTGACAGTGTCTGAGCTAAGCAGCCACTAACTATATTTACGAGCAAAAATTACCCGGAATTTATCCCAAAATAGGCAGAAAAAATTTTCAAGACAGGAATACTGGCCACTCTTTAAATGGCATCAACTACAAATCTCTCTCTGTTCTGATTTCCCAATACAACTGACCCTTAACAACATGGGTTTGAACTCTGTGGGTCCACTTCTTTGTGAATTTTTTTTAAATAAACACAGTACAGCACTATACATGTATTTTCTCTTCCTTATGATTTTTTTAAAGATTTTATTTATTTATTTGACAGAAATTACAAGTAGGCAGAGAGGCACGCAGAGAGAGAGGAGGAAGCAGGCTCCCCGCAGAGCAGAGAGCCCGATGCGGGGCTCGATCCCAGGACCCTGGGATCATGACCTGAGCCGAAGGCAGAGGCTTTAACCCGCTGAGTCGCCCAGGGGCCCGATTTTCTTAATAACGTCTTCTGCAGCTTTACATTACTGTAAGAACATGGTGTGTAACACAGCAACATACAGAGTTTGTGTTAACCGGTTACTTTGTCTACAAGGCTTCCAATCAACATGAGGCTGTTAGTAGTTGAGTTTTTAAGAAGTCAAAGGTTGGGGACGCCTGGGTGGCTCAGTTGGTTAAGCAGCTGCCTTCAGCTCAGGTCACGATCCCAGTGTCCTGGGATCGAGTCCCACATCGGGCTCCTAGCTTGGCAGGAAGCCGGCTTCTCCCTCTGCCTCTGCCTGCCGCTCTGTCTGCCTGTGTTTGCCCGCGCTGTCTCTCTCTCTCTCTCTGACAAATAAATAAAATCTTAAAAAAAAAAAAAAAAAAAGTCAAAAGTTGTACGTGGAATTCTGACTGCATGAGGGCATTCAAGGGTCATGTGTGTAAAAGCATTAGAAAAATTATTAGACGTCTACTATATTCCGGTGTTCCAGGCCCTGAGGATACAGCAAAGAACAGAAACAGGTTTCTGCCCTCATATGTGCTTATATTCTAATGAAGAAATCTCTAAAAGTAACACATCACTGCAAGCACCTGAGAGAAAACAGCAGTTTCTAGGCAGCAGGGAGCGTTCCAGGTAGCGTAGGGGAAGGGGGAAGCCAGGCAGCAACGGAGAACATAACATGCCCCAGCAAAGAGCGAGCACAAAGTCGGGGAGGGGGAGAAGCAGTGGGTGTGAGGAGGACCAGCCCGGTGCCCAGCGTGGCTGTAGTGGGGTGAGCGGGGCAGGGGCATGAGGGAGGGTCAGACGGACCGCTAGAACGTCACTGCTGAGACTTGGGCATGAACACTCAGGGAGACGGAAAGCAGGAATGATGTGGTCCAAGCTACCATTTTAAAGGCCCATGCTAGCTGCTTGCTGTTTGGAGAAAACCTCACAAATAAATGCTAAAAAACAAAACAAAACGCAGATCTAATGCTGCTACTAGTAACTGGGGAACATAAGAGAAGGCACCAGTTAAGAGGCTACTGCAATGAACCAGAGGATTCTGGGAGCTGGGAGCAGCATAGGTAGGTGGTGGGAAGCAGCTGGGTTCGAGATCTCTTCTGAAGGTTCGAGAGTAGGTTCGAAGACAGACAGGATCTGTGAAAGAAAGAGGAGTCTAATATGCTTCCGAATTGAAGGACGCTTTCCACAGAGGCGGCAAAGACTACAGGAAGCTTGGGTTTTGGGAGGG